GAGAAGTGAATATCTGGAGCGCTCAACACTCTCATGCAGTGTATGTTTAATTCATACTCGAAGCCGGAGGGCGCTCTCGTGCAGAAAGTCCAAAACAGACTCATAGAAGGAATGACTTATGACATGCAGGAAACCCTAATATGGACAAAAGCATCCGGCTATTGCTGTAGCTGAGCTTAATAAAAAGCAGGAAAAAACGTGAAGACAATAAACACACGATTGCGAAATTATACGGTTTATGTGTGTTTTTCAAGTTATCTCCAGGTAATAAATAAACTTTATGAATCAGTACTGATTGACATCATATAGTAGCCTATAGAAACTATAAAATGTCCTGCTTTATTCTGTGATTTAAAAAAAAAAAAAAAAAATGGGGCCGCTCCGCTGAGAACTGCACTTACCGGCAGCCGTGGACGTTATGAAGGCATCCTGGTAGTGCACTACATTAAAGGTGTCTGAACGTGAAAGATAATCCCTGATGAGATTGTCAGGTGAAAGGTCATAATCATGTGGATAATTTTATTTACGACTAAATTATAATTAATTCATTTTACTAATAGTTAGATTGGGCAGGCCTTCACAAAATGGCGTTTAATTACAAAAAAAAAAAATTGCCTTGACAAAAGGGCACTTTGGGCATCAAGTACCCATCGCACCACCCTCTGCACGTGCCTGCTAGGTTTTGATTACGTGGTCCTAACCCTGCATCAGCAGACCACTTTGCACATGGTATTTGACACTAAACTGAGGTCTGTGAGGGCTAACAGCAGTTTACCACTGTAGAAAGAGAAGAGAAGGCACAAGAAATGGAAAGCATGGTTATCTTCACTTGTACTCATGGTTTTTATTATCAAAGCTTGCCATGGATATGTTACAAAAGAGATGCAAATAGTGCAAGTCACTTTCTGAAGGCAGTTTCTACAGAGACAAGCAGCAGTGATAAACTTCATGAACTTGGACTATATTGTTTTCATACAAATTGCAAAGTTACTGCAATCCACATGAACTGTACCTTACCTGTTTTTTCTTTTTGTTTATTGTTTTTCTCCAAGATCAATATTTTAAAGCTCAGTAATCGGGTCTGAATAATTTCAAGTATTGCAGTGACACTGATGCTGTAGTAAGTCATTTTACAAAGAACTTCAACCCTGTAGCATTTGATCCTGAAACATTTCTAAATGTAATTCAGAATTATGGTCATTACATGGTTGAAAAGGTCATTATATCTACATTTTTGTGAAATCGTACAGTCAGTACATACAAAAGCGTCATGAATTGACATCAGGAAATATAATTCAACTCGCAACTTATAAATGTGGTGAATTCATACATATGATCAAGTGATGCTGAGTTTTAAAAGAATCTATTCATTTGGAATCTGGAGAAGCTGAGCAAGTCTTCATATTGGATTCCTTTTTCAGACACAGTAATGGCAAAAACAGCTGCTGCAAAACAGAGAGAGTACAGGGCGAGAAGGGATGCTGACCCGGTACGTAGGGAAAAGTACCTCAGGAGTGAGCGAGAGAGGTGGAGAAGAGATGTTGAGACAGGGAAAAAGAAGAGAATTGGTGACCTGTGTGAGAAGGCTCAGCGATGGAGGCGCAAGCAGTGGAGAGAGGCCAAAGAACGACAGAAGAGGTTTTTCAAATTAATTGCTTCCCCTCCAGACAATCTTGAACCCAGTCTGATGGTGTTGCTGCAACCCTGAAGAGGATGACAGACAGACTGATAAGTCAGGGTCAGGACATCCCAGGTGCATGGAAACTCATCAGGGCCCTTATCGAGGCCAGAATAGCCTTAAAAGCGGGCTGGTCGACAAAGCACTTGAGAAGCACTTGAGTCCAACAACATTGAGGCTCCACCAGATGACTTGTGACCAAGTCAATGAGCTGAACAATATTTCAGTTGTAACTGAAAGAGAGAGAGGGATGGCTGAGATTGATTGGGGTAATCCATGAGTGCGAGATTTTGTTTATGATGGACCTTAACCTTCACTGAACCCTGTGGCATCTTGACATATTTCAATTCACAAAGATCTGTGTGCCATTCTAAATGAATTTTACTCTTTGTATTTTTTGTATTATACTCTTAGTTACTATGTAAATGAGCTGTTAATGTGTAAATAAATGGATGAATGATTGAATCAATTAATGTATATTGCACCAACAGTAGCCACTTCAACCCTGTTATCATTTTCAACCCTGTTGAATTGCATTCAACCCTGTTACTTCTTTTCCATCACTGTTTTTGTAATATTCTGTGTATTTAGTGTACTGTATCTGAGGTAATCAGTAAATTACAATAATTTTATACCTGACTTTACTGAATATGTAGAATACTGAATCACGTTTAAAAAAAATAAATAACATGAAATAAATATAACTCTTTAGCCTGAGGTGGGAAAAATATTCCTTAGATCAGCAAAAACATTTTCATGAAATAATGATCATTCAAACAATCATAAAAATAAAAGTTTCATTATTAAATTTACGTTTTTTACAACACGGCCCAGATCAACTTTTTTTAACACAGTGAGACTGATGATCCTTTCTAGTTAATGTTCATGTTTGAATTTTGTCATAAAATACACATATTGTCAGAATTAAAAACAATTACTGTATTTGAAGAAACAAACATTTTTTTTTTTCCCCCACTGCATGGCTGTTCATGATTATTACACATCGCAAGTCATTCCATGATGGGGATCACAAGACAAATGCATCAACATGAACAGGTGAGTCTAGCTGCTTTACTTGAACTTTAAAGATCACTCTGACATATGAAGACTTCTGATTACTGCACTGACAGTCATGGGTTTAACACAAAACTTTTGTTTGCACTTCTTCATTTCCAAAGTAAATTCCTCTACATTTTTAAACATTCTGTCAGACAGAATAGTGTTTTTATATTCACAATAATATACTGTTTCAAGAATTAGGTTTGGGAAAATTGTTGTAAAGGTAACAGGGTTGACTGTAACAGGGTTGACAGTTGCACAGTTCAGTTAGACAGGTAAAGAACATGACACTAGATCCTTATTTAAAGAAGAATTAAATGTGGAGACCTACATTCAACAAATACTCAGTTTTCAATGAGTTGTTTGCTGTACAAAATGGTAACAGGGTTGAAATATTAAAGTTGGTCCCAACTGAGAAACATACAAAATTATAAAAAAGACACGTCCTTGCACAGTTTACTTCATGAACAATGGTGTTGCAATATAGACATAATTCTATGACCTATAGCACATTTAAATAAAATAAATAGAGAGTTATGATGGCAAAAGGGTTGAAATACCCGGGGACACAACTTTAACCTAAATCTAATAATACTTTAAGAATAAGGGGATGTTTCTAGCTTGTACTTATAAGTACATATAAGGGGGGAAATTAACAGATTAAAATTTTTTAATTTTCTTTGTTTACAAAAATGCCTTTAATGCATAGTGAAAGTATTCTTACACAGAAAAAAAAGGTAAATAACAGATCCATTTTGTTAAATTTTTATTTATTTGTTTCTAAAAAAAATTTTTTTTTGCATTTTGCTTTTTAGTTTTTGTTTTTTTTTCTGAAATGTATTACTGTTAACAAACGAAGTTTGAATGTTTGTACATTTGTTTTTACAGCTATGTCAGATGTGAGTCCAGGGAGTTTTGAAAATAATCAATGTACAGGTAAGTTTAATAATTTTATCACACAATTAAACTCACATTTTTAAATGTTTACTGTTTTACAAGTGGAAGCCCCCTGCTAAATCACCTGTGGTATTACAGTTGCAGAGAGGGCTATTCTTGAGTCACAGGGAGAAATGGACTGGAAAATCAATCATCTGACTGCACTGGTTCAGTGTCTTGTGGGGAACAGGTGCTTTGTGCCTCCACTGCAAATAGAGGATGAGGAAGAGGATTGTGTCTTGCCTTTGATGACAATGGGGGATCTTGACCGATTGGAGCAAAGACTTATGGATAGAGGGACGATGCAAAAATTGGTAAGATTCTTTGGAATTATGGAATTAAAAGAAGTGACTGAAATTTTGGAAGAACTTTTATTTATAATCTATATTTAATTTCTGTTTAGGTGAACATATTGTCTGTTAGTGGAGGTCAAACTATGAAAAAGACCATATGGAGAATTTGCACCAAAGTTTTTGCTTCCAATGTGGCCAAACAGCTCAACTGGTGCGGACGGGGAGACAAGCGAGGCTTAAGAAAGACAAATATCGGAGCACTAATAATAGGTATATCCAAAACGAATGGAATACTTTTATGGATAAAAGTATTATAGTTGTTGTTGTAATTACATATCTCAGTCAAATCGCATGTGAATATATTTTAATTTTAAAATTTAAAAGGAATTGCTCAAAAACTTCTACTTGTGCTCACTAAAATGTTACAATTGCATACATATGCACAGTCAGGCCTGTCCGCTCTAGTTCAGTAATATTATGTTCAGTAATAAATGAAATAAAAAGGTTGATTTGCTTCTTGGTAAACTAGTAATTTGATCTTTTTAACACACAGCTGCAGCTATGAGGAACAGTGTCCTCTTGGCTCCCACAGAAGCGGAGGCAGAGAAATGTATCAAAGATTACCTGCGTTTGGCTCCAGGGAGGACATCCTCCTAATCTGTTGTAAAAATGTCAGTTTTGTATATTACATTGCTTGTACAGAGAATGACTGTATTTCATACTGTTAAATAAATAATTTAATAATTCCTTAAACTGTTGTTCAGAAGTCGAAATGATTTAGAGTAGTTGGAATAGGGTTATTAACATGTCCATGGTCAGTGTCAGGTTTTTTTTTTTTTTTATCAACAAGGATTTTAAGCTGCGTCATGCACGGAATCGCAACTGATCTGCCGGTTCATGAGTTTCATACAAAAAGCTTTAAAGTGATCTTTTGTGCCACCCTGTGACTTGGCATGTGGCATTGTCTTAAGAGTAAACACTGGCCGTTTATTAATGTGTTAAAATAAACAAAGGCTTCTGTAATATTTCACTGTGTGCATCCCATAAGGTTTAGAGGTGTTTCAGTCTAGTTTACCTTTTTAGCTCTTTCTTGAAATCTCACAGTTTTGAGATGGGCCTCAGTTGGCTTGGGTCAAATATTTTCATTGATATACTTTTATAGTTTTTGAGTTTTTTAATATTTCTATTTTTTTTAAAATTATTTTTTATTTCAAGTTTAGTTATTTTAGTATAAAATAAATGAAACTTATAAAATCAATAAAAGAAAAGAAAATTGGAAATATTGCTTTGGCAACTAGCTGAAATGAAATATTTAAATTATTTTTTATTTCAAGTTTAGTTATTTTAGTATAAAATAAATGAAACTTATAAAATCAATAAAATAAAAGAAAATTGGAAATATTGCTTTGGCAACTAGCTGAAATGAAATATTAAAAAAATATTTTATTTAATTTCAGTTAATGTTTATTTAAATACATTTTTATGGTTTTAGTAATAGTTTTAGTTAACGATAACAATTTTGGTATAAATTCATAAATGCATCAAATTAACATCATATAAAACAGTAAAGGTGTTTTAAATCATCACTTTCTACTTCTGTGAAATGCCTCAATATTTAGTTAAAATACTGAATATTTGTATTAATATATGTAATCTCTCTCTTCCCTGGCTGTATTTAGATGACGATTCTCAGCTGTCTGTGGCAGGGGTCCAAAAGCAGGTGCGTCCGAGACGTAAGGACCTGAATCTGTATGAAGAATACAAACTCAGCCGAACTCTGAGAGGCCGTAATTTAAGAAAGTTAAGATTTTTTTTTTTGGATTAAAAAAAAAAAAGCAACAAAAAAAATCTTAAACTAGCTTTAAGATTTTTTTTCTTTAACTAGTGTTAAATTGTCTGTATCTGAAGTAATCAGTAAATTCAATGGACAACATAAAATAACTTGTTTTTATTTTGGGCCTGAGGTGGAAAAAGCAGTAACATTTTCATAAAATAAAGAACTAAATAAAGTATTTTTTCCCACCTCAAAAGCTCAGGCACACAGGACATCCATTCCTGAGAGTTTTTGTTTATATTGTTTTTGTGCATAAAAGTACATTAATTCCTAAAGTGTACATATATGTACCTAAATGGTACATTTTACATGCATGGTACATTAATGGTGCATTTTAAAGTGATAACAGTTGTACCTTTTTTTCTGAGTGCATCGTCAGTTTCTTGTTTTTAAGTAAAAATGTTTAGAATTTAAAGATTTTTAAAAAAAACATTTTAAACGCTTTAACTAGTTTTAAATTGTCCTGTGGTGTGGACAGTACAAATATTACATGTAATCCTTAAATTAATGTGATATTAGAAAATGTGATAAAGCTATAAATTACATGTCAGGTTACAGTGTAAAACCAAATGCACTCTAAAAATTTATATCTTGGCCAATAGTGTATATGGAACTTGCTCAGCAAACATTGATAAGAAGATACTCAGGGTTACCGGTTATCAGGAAACTGACAGGATGTGATGTTGCAGTAAGCAGCCAAAACCGTTTTGAGGAGAGGAAAAAGCTGACATGTGTAACATTAGAAACCATGATTTCACCACGCGTCGAAGCTGCGTCATGCACGGAATCGCAACTGATCTGCCGGTTCATGAGTTTCATACAAAAAGCTTTAAAGTGATCTTTTGTGCCACCCTGTGACTTGGCATGTGGCATTGTCTTAAGAGTAAACACTGGCCGTTTATTAATGTGTTAAAATAAACAAAGGCTTCTGTAATATTTCACTGTGTGCATCCCATAAGGTTTAGAGGTGTTTCAGTCTAGTTTACCTTTTTAGCTCTTTCTTGAAATCTCACAGTTTTGAGATGGGCCTCAGTTGGCTTGGGTCAAATATTTTCATTGATATACTTTTATAGTTTTTGAGTTTTTTAATATTTCTATTTTTTTTTAAATTATTTTTTATTTCAAGTTTAGTTATTTTAGTATAAAATAAATGAAACTTATAAAATCAATAAAAGAAAAGAAAATTGGAAATATTGCTTTGGCAACTAGCTGAAATGAAATATTAAAAAAATATTTTATTTAATTTCAGTTAATGTTTATTTAAATACATTTTTATGGTTTTAGTAATAGTTTTAGTTAACGATAACAATTTTGGTATAAATTCATAAATGCATCAAATTAACATCATATAAAACAGTAAAGGTGTTTTAAATCATCACTTTCTACTTCTGTGAAATGCCTCAATATTTAGTTAAAATACTGAATATTTGTATTAATATATGTAATCTCTCTCTTCCCTGGCTGTATTTAGATGACGATTCTCAGCTGTCTGTGGCAGGGGTCCAAAAGCAGGTGCGTCCGAGACGTAAGGACCTGAATCTGTATGAAGAATACAAACGCAGCCGAACTCTGAGAGGCCGTAATACAAACCGACGGCGTGAGCTGGAGCAGACTCTACCGCAGGCTCTGCTTGCAGACTTGGTAAGGGAACGGAGGGAAAAGACTCGTCTTCGAGTGGCCCGCTGGCGTGCCAAACGCAAATTACAAGCCTGTCTGATGGCCTCGCAGGCTGCGCAGTTTAGCGGGGCCTCGCAGGCTGCGCAGTTTAGCGGAGCCTCTGTGCAGAGCTCACCTGCGCAGCGTGGCGGCCTGATCTCCACCCGCAGGCGAGGCGGAGTGACGGCGCCGCGCGGTGGGCTTGGATTGAGAAGACTGTCAGAGACTGGCACATGTAACCTGCTGCTGCAGCTGGGGCCCAGTCCTACTCAATCTGCAGCGGCACACGGCATCAATGTAGGTCTGATGCCGTCTGGCCTCTTAGCGCTATCACAGCACAGAACCACTGCACCTAGATCAACTTACCAATGATGCAGCATTTACTTCCTGGTGGAAACACACTAGTTAATGACGGCGCTGAGTTGTTGTCATCTTAAAGGGGTCACATGATGCGATTTCAAGTTTTCCTTTCTCTTTGGAGTGTTACAAGCTCTTGGTGCATAAAGAAGATCTGTAAAGTTGCAAAGACTAAAGTCTCAAATCCAAAGAGATATTCTTTATAAAAGTTAAAGAGTCAGCCACGCCTACCTAAAACGGCTCCAAAATAATGATCTTTAAAATAGCATCATATGACCCCTTTAATGCTTAACAAAGTGACATTTTCCGAAGCGAGGCACTTTTTTCCTAATACTATAAAACGTAAAAACAAAACCTCATACTGATCTGTGCAAACCTCATGCATGACAAAAATTTTTGGACTATTCAAAAACACATTCATGTTTACTTTGACCGTTGCAAACTGAATCCAAATTGAGTAGAATAAAACTGGTTATTTAGTAACATTAAACAACTCAAATTGCACTATAAAATGCATTCTAAATTCAACTGAGCTGAATAACGTAAACTAAAAAGGTACAAAAATATTTTCCAAGGATATTGTGGTCATCGGTGAAGAAATTTGTGCTCTGCATGCAGTGGAAACTGACATTTGTCAGCATGACTGCCCTGGTTATGCTCGCTCACGTGCTTGCGGAAATGTTTTTCATCTGTAGTTTTGACTGCAGTGTTCAGGGTGGTTTGAAATACTAATTTGGTTAATTCATTGAAATATACCTTCATGTTCATTTTTGTTGCCTACATTTTTCTAGTAAACGGCATTGTCGGCAATAACCATGTTGACATTTTTTTTGTTGACCAAAAAATGTTGTATGCCAGTGCTTTCTAAATGAGCACACATTGCAAAATTGCTGTGTAAGCTGATATGCGTGTTCGATTTTGAGCAGGCAAATGTGGTTTAACAGAAAAAGCGGTGAATGCTGTTTATAGTTTCTGGAAATTAGTCTCTGTTTTGGTGGTTGATGTAATGGTATGTTTTGGTATGAAAAGGTATGGAATATTTTTCTGATAAAATGCTCACGAGTACAGTTATTGTGTCAGTAATAGGGAAAATTGTAAACCAAGAGCCCTATCAGTTTTGGTTATTGATTCACTTACAGCTATCTTAGTTTTTTTTTTTTTAGCCCAAGTGACTTACAAAAAAAGTGCACATCATGCATTGTGACTGTTGCTTCCATAATTCAAGAGCCGGAGCTTTAAGGATCAAAAGCCACACTAAAAATAACAACTGAAATACTACATTAACATTTCAGACTTATTATGGTCTTTGAATCAGAACTTCATAAAGCTACATTTCTTACTTCATAACATACTACCAGTGCTACAGTTAAATTCAGTTTAATTAGTATTCTGAGGAAGAACAAGAAATTTCAACGAGCTGAGAATAAATCACTTTATAATTTTTTAGATCATTTCTGGTTTCAACACAAGGCAATACACTATGTGTTTCAGAAAGACTATGAAAAATGTTATTTTAACCCTTTGTAACAATCACAAATTTACATGACATTGACTCGTTGGGGTTGTGCTCGCTTGTTTTATGTCACTGCATTTACACAAATATTCATTTTTGAATTATTGCTGTCATTTTGAAAGTCACTTCATAATCTTTCATCTAGATTCAAAGCTCTACAAGTAGAACAAAATCTGACAGTTTACAGTTTAGGATGTGATTAATAAAACATGTTTCCTACAGTTTTCATGTGCTATGTTCAATGTTTTATGCTGTTTAAAGATTATTAAACATTTAATGTTGTGTGAATGTTACATTTGTTGGTGCATATTAAATAAAAGATTGTTCCTAAAATCAGCAAAGTCTGTTATGTTCTACCTGCAGAGCAAGCGTTTAAATGTGTGCTTCATTAAAGCAACAACAATAACAAGTTAAATTGGTGCTGCTCATTTGTGTCTAGTTACTTAATCAGGGTGTTTGATTACCCGTTGACTATCTTACTACTGATCGCCCCGGGGAGGGTGTAGAAGATAAGAACCAGGAACAAGGTCACGATCAACAGCACCAGTCCGGCAATTATGTATTTCTTGTAGTTCCCCCAGATCAGGTGAAAGAAGCACTTGAAAGGATTCATAAACCAGGAGAAGGATGTGTCTGGACGACTAGAGAAAAGTCAAAGTTTGATATTAGAATTAATTCACATACAGTATATAGTACATAGAGTAGAACTACCTTAAACACATATGTAAATAAATTCAGTTTGTTTTTCTAATTATATTGGCCTATATGTTTTTAATTTGATTGACAGCCCTGGTAATAATATGAATAAAAACATCTGAAATAGGTGTTAAAATAAGTGTATTAGTCACATTACTTTGGTTTCTCTAGAGGCTCTGGTTCCTTGCGTGCACGTCCCACTGGATTTTTCTCTGCCTCTTCAGCTGTTACCAGATGAAACTCCGCTTCTACCTTCCCCTACGTAAAGAAAAGTTGAAACACTACTTTTATTAGGTCACATGTTTGTGTAAATACATTCCCATACCTACTGCTTTGTATAGAACAAATGAAAACGGATAACATAATTACATTTAGAATAAATTAGTCAAAAGTTTAGGTTTTGATCGTTTGCAAACGAGCCATTGAGCTTTACACAGAGTTTAATTCACAATTTTTTTTCCCCAGTGAAATAATTCAATTCACACACTGTGAGATCTCCAGCTTTAATGAAGGGCCACCAGCCTTTGGAGCGTTTCTGCTGGAAGATAGAGATGTTCTCTGTGGTTTCTGTCAGCATTTCCATCCTACAAGCTTTAGCTGATTTAGCTCCACGTGGAAACCCATGCAGGTCCAACTCCACTGAGCCTATGGACACATAAAAATG